ACAGCTAGCTATATATTGCTCTTTTAGAGTGGTTAATTAGCGCTGAGCGTCTTAACCACTGCACCACATGAACTCTTTACCTAATAGATCTCATTTTATTATATATTACTGTAAATCAGAATTCACTCAATTGCCATAGAGAGCTTGGGATTAGTTTGCTTTTGAGTTTTATTATGTTTATTCATATCCACTGTGACAGTGATGTGCCAAACGTGGTAATGGGTACCCATGGTGGACAGTGTTGGCTGGAGCTTCCCACCTAAAACAAGCCTGGAAGAAGGAGCGGCATCCACTTCGGAAATGGCTTGCCTCTGGAAACTCTACGTATGAACAGTGCTCAGGCTGTTCGTTCATAGGGTTGCTATGAGTCGTCTATGACTCGATGGCACCTAACAACAACAACAACAACAACAATTTCCATATCCCCTGCTGTTGAGTCAATACAGAATAATAATGAATGGCCTTCCATCAGGTTTTAGTTTGAGCATCTTTCCTCTTCTTTAACAGATGATGAATCCAAATCACCAAACATTGCATTAAAAGCTCTACATATTTTGGTTTTTTTTTCTTTTTTTTATTTCAGAAAAGCTAATGAGATATTTGTAATAGTGTTTTCATTTTTTCTCACCTGAGGCATGTGCAGTCCAACACCCACCAAAGGCCCCATTTTGACACATTACTACTGACTGAAGATAGGCTCTGCTCCTTGATATTTGCTGTGCCTGACTTGCTAAGCCATAAAACATGGCCGCGGAGCAAAAGCTCAGAGACAAGGATATTCCTCTATGACTATCAGAGAGTAAGCCTTCCCTTAGAGCTGGTCCTTGAGACTCAGATGTGGAGCCTCCTAAACTGTCAGACTGTTGTATTCGAGTTGATCTGCATATTGTTAACTACTCTGTAGCTTTGATATCTATATTCTTTCATGTTTATCATTGTTATAAGTAGTACAGCACTTGTCTGTCAGCATGTTGTACTTGTGAGTTGCTGTGATGCTGAAAGCTGTAACACTGGTGTGTCAAATGCTAGGTCACGCACGGTGGACAGATTTTATTGGAGTTCCAAGATTAAGAGAGAATAGGAAGAAAGATTGGCTATCCACTTACGAAATATAGCAGGCCTCTGGAAAAAGAAATCTATGCACAGTAGAGGAACACAGATAGAAAAGGTATCAGAGGTAGAGCACAATTTGGAAGTCAATCATAATGAGAACAGCTGCAAAATCTTATCATAGTTGGAACACGGAATATGAACGTCAGAGAGCTAGAAGATGTGAAAAATTAATTGGAAAGTAAGAACATTTACATTCTAGGAAGCAGTGAGATGAGATAGACTTGATTTGGTCACTTTGAATCAGACATTCACATGATACACTATGCCAGGAATTAAAAACAGTGTAAGAATGGTGTAGCATATAATTTCTTGATCAATCCCAAAGTACAATGTTGTGAGTAACAGGATATTATCCAAACATTTAAAAGGAAGACCTATTAATGCAACTATTATTCAAATATATGCACCAACAACTACAGCCAGAGAGTATGAAATAGAAGACTTTTATAAAATTTTTTAGTCCCAAAATGATCAAACAAGCAATAAAGGTAAGTTAATAATAATTAGTGATTAGAATGCAAAAATTAAAAACAATTAAGAAGAGAAAGTATAGTTTGTGATGTATTGAGAGGAGAAATAAAATAATCAAATTTTTAAGTTCTAGAATTTATTCATAGAAAAAAAATTTTTTTGAAAAAAACACAAATTGACTTTACACGCAGACCTCATCAGATGAATGGCACAGGAATGAGACAGACTACATCTTCGGAAGAAATTTTTGAAGAAGCTCAATAGTTAAAACTAGGACAGGTGCTACTGTAGAACAGACCATCAATTTTTCAAGTGCAAGTTCATATTTAAGTTGAAGAACATAAAAACAAGCCAACAAGGACCAAAAATATGATCTTGAGTCTATACCATCTGTATTTAAATATAATCTTATGAATAGGTTTGAAGCATTGAACACCAGTGATCAAAACCCAGATGAGTTATGGGAGGAAATTAAGGATATCTTGTGTGAAGGGAGCAAAAGGTCACTAAAAAGATAGAGAAAGAAAAGAAAAGACCAAAATGAATGTCAAAAGAGACCATGAAAATTGTACTGGCATGTCAAGTAGCCAAAACATAGGGTAAATATGGTGAAGTAAAATAACTGAACAGAAAATGTCAAAGGGTTCTCAGAAAGGCAAAGCAAAGTAGTATAAATGGAATATGCAGAGACCTAGGATTTGGAGAATAAAAAGAGGAGAACTCACTTAGAAAATTCAAACCTTGAGTTGACAATCCTCAGGGTTGGTATGGGCAAATATTGGATGCTCCAGGAAACATCAAAAGAAGATGGAGGAGATATAAAGACTCTACCAAAATGAACTGGTCCACATATAAATGTTTCAGGGAATACCATATGATAACATATGATAAAGTGCCAGTGGTCATAAAAATAGACCTTTAAGCTGCATTGAAGGCCTTGGTAAAAAATAAGGCCCTGGAATTGATAGGATATTAACTGACATGCTTCAAAGGACAGATGTGGCTCTGTACTTGCTCTCCAGTCTATGCCAGTAATTTGATGGGCTGACTGACTGGAAGAGAACCATGATTGTTCCAATTCCCATGAAAGGTGACCCAATAGAATGTGGAAATTATTAAGCATTAATACCACATGCTAGCAAATTACTATGAACGATAATTAAAAAATGGCTAGAGCAATACTCTGACAATGAACTGCCTGATGTTCAAACTGGGTTCAGAAGTGTCTGTGGCATCAAGGATATCATTATTGATAAAAGATGAATCCTGACTCAAAACAAACAAACAAAAAGAAAGCAGAAGAAAGTGTATTTTTTCTTTTTTTACTATGCAAAGGCATTTGACTGTACAGATAATAAAAAAATTATGGCTAATTTTGAGAAGAATGGGGATCTCAGAACTTTTAATTGTGTTCATGCAAAACCTATACTTAGACCAAGATGTTATTGTGCAAACAGAGCAATAACACACTGTGTTGTTTAAAATTGAGAGGAAATACAGCTTGGGGAGGCGAGGCATCTGATGGATGAGACATTAACACAAATTCAAAGTCTGTGCTGTTCCTTTCCCTTCAGAATCGTTTTATAAATATCATCAGACTTACTTTTATAATTTGATGGCAGTATATATAATCTTTTGAATTTAGGAATTTGATCATCTCTTTCTTTTGTGTACATGTTATTCAGTAGCTTTTTTCCAAACTGATAATTTTCATTGAAGTTAGGGAAATAAAAGGAGTAAAAACAAAAGATAAAAATACTTTAATACTATACACCAATGTTTATAGCAGTGTTATTCCCCAATGCAATAGCATGGAAACAGCCCAAGAGCTTGACCACAATAGAATGAATTGACAAATTATTGACATTCACATGATGGAATACTACACAGTGTGCAAAGCAACACTTTTGAAAATGACTATCTAACTTGAGAGGGACTGGAGAGCATTATGCTAAGTGAATTAACTCAGTCTCATAAAGATAAATACCATAAAAGACCATTACTGCAGAAATTGAAATATAACTAGTAAATCATGTATGAGGATTTAATGGGGGGGATGGTAGGCGGTGAGAGGGGGTAATCACAGGGTTGCAAATTCTGATGGGTAGAGGGAGGGATGGGTAATGGATATGGGAAAGATACGATGTAAAAAACAATATATACACACTTTGTAAGTAAACCAATGTAAAATAATTATGCTATTAAAATTTTTTAACAGATAATTATTAATAATCACTATAAACATGTAAAGATAAAAAAAATTGTGCTGGACCTTGGATGTCTTTAATACTGTTTTTATATTCAGAGAGGAAAAAGTGATGTTAGGATCTGTGGTTTAGTACCACTCATTGCTATCTAGTCTTAAAGAGAATTTTCAGTCTGTGTCCTAGGCTACATAATGATCACTACTATGAGGTAATGCCTTGCTTCTGTGACCAACATGTAATTCATAAGCAAATAAATCTGAAATTGGCAGAGAAAGGCCAAGATTGTAGTTGATTAATATTGTTAAGAAAGGCCAAGGTCATCTATCTTTAGATTTCAGTTCAGCCTGGCCTGACCTTTCATAGGCATGACAACCAGAGATGGTGTCTCATTTCCTACTTGCCTACTCGCTACCTTCTCTTTTTGACAACGGTTTTCAATGTTTTTCTAATATTTGTTGAAATAAGCATATGTAGAGCTTAAGATAGTAATGGTATAGAATAGGGGTACTTCTCAATTTTCTTTTTAAGTTGTAATCATCACTGTCAGTGTGACTGTTAAAGAACTGTAACTTTTCCAGTTTCCTCTGCATACTGCGTTTGTATATCCAAGACAGAAATGAAGTTACTCTCTTACTATATATGGTTTAAATAGTTGCTAGGGTTCAGTGGAGCCAACTAAGAAACCCCGGGGAACTCTGGCTGCCTACTTTGTAGCAAATCGCACTGCTAACCCATGGCAGCTCCTCTGCTTGTTTGAATCTCCCACCAGCTCCACAGAAGAAAGATGGGCAATCTCTTACCATTCACCTTACAACTCCTTACAACCTGAAATTCCCCTGGAGAATCAATCATCTGTTGAGTGGCTTTCAACTTGACGGCAAGGAGGGATTTTTTTTATGAACTTTGTAATTATAAATGAAAATATTTTTGTTAGTATCATGTAGTTGCCGTTTCAAGGAGGAACAACAATAGGAATGATTTTAACCAAAATGTTTGACAGAATGGCCGTTTGAAGACAGGCTTGTTATTCCATAACACTCAGTGAGGAATTAAGTCAGTGTACATGAGGGGAGAAAAGGGATATTAATTTCATGCGTATTCTGAATCATCCACTGAAATGCTTCAATAAACATTTACTCCAAACATCTGTGCAAGACAATTGAGAATGCATAGGGACATAAAGGAATCTGACAATGATTGGAGACAGGATTTTCTTTACATTGTCTAATAGACTCGTTTATTATTTTAAGCTGGTAAAAAGAGACTTATGATTTGTGTTGAAGAAAGAGTTACTTGTGCTTGATACATTGAAGACACTGTTCAAAAGCAGTTTCTCCTTATAAAAGGATGACCCCTGTAGTAATTCTTAGGCAAGGAGGGACAAATTCAACCAACAAAAAGCACATCTCGCCCCACGTTCCCCATGATTTCTCACATATAGCAAAAAAATACACATCAGTAATTTATTTGAACATGCACATCAGCGAGTAGCACAGTCCTAGGCTACTCAGGAAACAAAAGGGAGAATATCAGCATTACCTAAATAAAAAAGAGAGGTGAATTACACCATTTTAATTGTCTTAAAAACACGGATAAGAGGAGCAATTAAAATATATTCCTAAATATTACTAGCTAATGTAGATTACATAAGTATACAATATGATTCAACTAATAGTGCTCTGATAAGCATAAACCACCAGTTCTAATAAACAAGGCCCAGACCAATTGCTCAGAAAATGTTAGATTCAGATGTAATAAAACAGTTCTTTTATTTCAGTACTGAATGCAAAACACAAGTCAAGTGTGAAGACAGTGTTCTATAAAAGGAGGCTCTACGAAAGCAAGGAGGCCATTTCCTTTTGCATTTTTATAATTTTGGAATTCTATTTTTGACTTTCGCATTCTCTACCTTTCCTCCCCTGAGCACTAATTTATCAAAAAAGATTTCAAGGTGCAAGTTGTACATTCTTATCATTATACTGTTTGATCTCTTTCTGGAAGAGAGTATTACAATCAGCGTTACAATGTTAATTCATTTTCTCTAAGTATTCTTTTCACATACATGTATTTGAAAATCATAATGTTGATTGGGAAAAGAAACCTACAAACGAGAGAGTGTGATGTAATCATACATTTCCTATTGTGCTGTGTGTCTTTCCCATCCCTTCTCCCCTTTCCCTGTAAAGAGCTGTAAAAAATTTAAGGCAGATGAGGTATATTGCTGAAGAAAAAAGTTATTTTTGAAAAAAACTCAAAAAAACTTTTATTCTGCCCTTCTACTCAAGAAAGACTACTCAACTATAAATCTAGTGCTAGAAAAAAGCAGGAAAGACACCGTTTGCATGTACCATACTATGTCTTCTATTTCTAGAATGGCTTTTTGTTAATTTAATTTTAATAGAAAAAATAAGCACCTTAAGCTATGAGCAAGAAAAGAACTTCATTATTAGTGAGTCTAGAATCCAAACGGAATTAAGAACACTCACTCAAACGCTTTCACTCATTCTCACAAAGGCCAATGCTACTGATTCGAATTGTAAAGTGCTGTACTTAGTATAAACACTTGTATACACTGCAGACACTGAAAAATAACCCTCAAGCACATTGTGTTATAGTTCCAAAAATATATTTACAGTCTATTACAAAGATTACAAATGGAAGTGTCTATGTGACTGTATTATGCTAATTAAAATTATTTTTACACATTGTTTTTCCTTAGGGACAAGAAACATTTTAGTGAAATTAAAATGATTTTTTTCCTAGTCAATCAAAAAATAAATTAAACTATCAAATAACACTGTACAGTAATTTAAAAGAAAAAAAGGGGGGTTTGGGGAGGGGTTTGGGAAGCAATCCATTTGAGTTTTTCTATAGCCATCTTTGGTCCTAAATGTGGGAAAACACATTATGTAGCACTGAAAATACCTGTTCTTTTGTGATGCTCTGCAAGTAAAATAGAAAAATATAGTGCATTTTCAATGTATTCAGAGCCCACTACAGAGAAATGTGTGTACAAAACAAGACAGTATAAATAAAATTTACAAGTTTTACAAAGAAACATTTACAGATTTTGTTTCTGTTATTTGTTTGTTTGTGGATGCCCACATTATCAAACAAGACCAATTATGACCGATCCCTGGGATCTTTCTCTATTAAAGTCATTATAAACAGCCCAATTTTCTTTGGAAGTACAACAGTTCAATTCTGGGGTAGTTCATGATTTTCAGAACATTTGAAAGCATTACTCAAAATACATATACATTCTTGCAATATCTATAAAGACACATTTAATTATTGCTTATGAAATTTTAACACAGTAATCAAATAATATGGTTTAATAAATAAAACATAAGAAACAAAACAAAACAAGCCAGGTCATTTACCTCTTCCTTACATGTTAATAAGCATTCTTTCATTTAATAAATTTCTTGCATCGGTGTTCACAAATTAAAGACTTTTTTAAACTGCAAGGATGATATCTATGCAGCAAATTTGTTTTGAAAAGTGAAAATTGTGAACTTCCCCTTTATTCATGCTCCAGAGTTCTAATATAAAACAATTATTTTCTTTCATGTTTGGACTGCATTAAACAGAGTAGGATATAAAATATATGTCAACTATTACTCTTAAATTTCCTAATGTCACAATATTGAAAAAATCTTGATGTGCTCAGATTAAATTTTAGATAATATAACACTGGATAGTTCTTGCTTTCAGAGACTTGCTTTCACCAACTTTCTTTAGATGAAGTGCCTCATCTTTTTTTTTAATAGCCATAAACCTAAAATTTTAGTTTTTTATTATTAAATTCTGTCTAGTAAAATCACTCTATAAACGATCAGTTAAAAGTGCCTTATATAGTATTTATGGGTCATTATTGCTTTTTTATTGAAAAGATAATGTGTTGTCAGATCTAGTAAAAAAATATTAAAAAAAAATCAAAACTCTTGGCAATTGCATTTACTTGACTACCTGCCAATTAGCAAATGAAATCAAAACACTACTGAATTAACAGAATAAAATGGCACAAAAAGGATACCGATGTTTTGATAGAAATATCTCGTCAATCATGTTATTGTTTTAAATTTGAGATTCTCTTATAGGTACCCAGTGTAGTAATGTGTCATAGATTTAACACTAAAAAGGTCCAAAGCTATAAACAACTTTCTAAAACAAAATCCTTATGCAGAATAAACACAAATGATTTTAAAAAGGAATAGTCTGAAATCACATATTTAAGGAAAATATTTCATTGATTTAACAATAAGATCATGATTTTATTTGACAAATATATTCTTTCTTAAATTCTTTATGTACATTTTAAAAAGTCTATAAGATAAAAAGGAGGTTAGAGAGCTCAAGGTGTTTGGATGTTTTTCAGGTAGTACTTTGTTTATTGTCACTGCTGTTTTCCTGGCCACCAGTGGTGGATCCTAAATTCCCTTTTTAAATTGATTCTGGTGGCACTTAGGAGTTCAAGTCTATAGGTGCTTCTTAAATCTTCTCTTCACTGGAGGAAGGACCCAGGACATCAACTGTCTTCTAGCAGCATTCTATGCATATACTGAAGGCCAGTACTGTTCTCTCGGCAGTTCAGTCTCCCTCATAAGGGAGAAACGCTTATCACACTTGGATGCCAGTTCCATGTAAATGTAGCATTTGTGCTCTCATAGTCTGAATGCTGCTCATGATTTTCTTTTGATGGCCAACCAGTGTGATCCCTAAACTCATCACATCCCTGAGGAAGACAAAAAAAAATTCTTATTAGCTATTTTACATTTATATGATATTAAACTGCTATGAATTTTCAATAATCAGTTTGTCTTAGTTACCATTTATACTGTTGGGTTATTATGGTATTTCTTCATGGGTTATGTTATGAATTGTGCCCCCCAGCCCCTCCTAAAATATGTGTCAACTTTTTCAGGCCCATCATTCTCAGTATTATGTAATGTAATCATCTTTCATTTTGTGCTCCAAAGTTACTATCCATGGTGTTGTAACTTCTAATCTCTATGAGGTGGCAGCATAAGCAGTTACAGTAAAGAAGTATGATGCATTCTATGGGATTAGTTTGTATATTTTTTAAAATATGTTGTTGCTGTTGTTATGCACCACTTAGCTTGAACTGACTCATAGCTGACTCTCCACCAGGTTTTTGGAGGAAGTGAACAGCATGGGAAGAGACTTCCCATCTTTCTCTCACAAGGCAGTTAGTGCATTTGAATCATATGCTCTTGGGTTGGTAGTGCAACTCCTTACCACTAAAATACCAGTGCTCCCTCTCCTAATTTTTTAATTTGAGTATATTTTTATTTGCTTATTTGCTATGTCCCAGCTACGAAACTAGTCACTTTATAAGCATCTTATAAAATACCCCTCATTATAATCCTGTTTGGGAAATATTCTTTACTCTCATTTTGCAGATATGACTGAGTTTTGAGAAGACAAGTCACCCTCAAAGGTCACACTGAGAGGCAAGAAGGCAAGATTCAAATTAAAACTTGATCCCAGAGCTGATAGTGTGTCAAGAAGTATGAAGATGGCACAGAATAGGCTGATCTCAGCCTCTTTCATTCACTTGTTTGTAATAGTAAGTCAATTTCTTTTGAGAGGAAATTTGGTTCTTGAGTCAATCTCTTTTGAAATAGAAAATGAGTTAAACTATAAAGTAGAGATGTTGTTATGAACCCTCGAGTCAGAACTGACCCATAGCTGACACTCCAGTGGGTTTTCAGAGGCAGTAAATCACACAAGAAACTATCTTTATCCCACATGGCAGTTGGTGGATTCAAACCACGTGCCTTCAGGTTGGCAGTGCAGCTCCTTACTACTAGGCCACTAGAGTTCCCTAACCAAGAGAAGAGTCAGGAGCAGAGCTGAGCTAGGGGGCCAGAACTGAGAACTTCCTAGAACCAGGAAACAAAGGGAAGCTTTTCACTGGAACAAGGGCTCTGAATTAAGACTTAAAGCCCTCCTAAATTGTGAGAGAACATAAATCGCAGCTTGTCAAAGCTATGTACTTGTAGTATTTCTGTCACAGCAGCAATAAAAAACAGTTATATTGGAAATTTTAAAAATACTCATCTTTTGTAAAAGGCATCAGTGCTTAGACTCTTTAATTTGCCATTACCAGTTGTTTTAAAAAGGAATTGAAATTTTATATTAATGCTTTAACAATATTTTCAATAAAGGTTAATAAAGTAAATTCTAAAGCTGTGTTCTTGAAAATAATAGAGATTTAAAATTTTTTAAGTAGAAAAATAGCATATACTATGAATAGAAACATTTGCTAGGATATGGAAGAAAGATGGAGAACCACCTGTAATAATAAAATATTTTCTATTGAGGTTATTATGCGGTAGTTCTAAATATATTGCTTACTATTTAATTATGTCAATTCAATCATTTCACTATATGTCAGGTAAAAACTCTGTGAAATGAACAAACTACTTATAACGTAGGAACAGCTTAAAATTTGACACATATGAATGGCATCAGTTTATTTTATTTTTGCAATTAGAAAAAATGAGCTTAATTATTTACAAAGGGCTAAGGAAACAATTGAGACATGTTAGGTTTATACCAAGAAGACCAGTCACAATGTGTTTATCAAGAACCCAGGTAATTTTGAAAAGGTTTGCCCCTAGGGAGCACAAACCCATTTGTCTGAATACCCCCTCACCTTTATACATATTACTTTGGGCAAAACTTTTAATAGCTTGTCTTTAAGCTAAAATGCTATTAATTTGTTGTGGTGGTTGTTAGGTGCCCTCAAGTTAAGTACGACTCACACTGACCCTATGAAGAGGAGATCTGTACCCCATCCTATTCTGTGCCATCTTCATACTTCTTGACACACTAGAACCCTTCGTGGTGGTCAACCTACCTGGGTGAGAGTCTTCTTTTTTATCAACCGTCCACCCTTTTAAGCATCATGTCCCTCTCTAGCAACATGCCTAAAGTACATGAGGTGAAGCCTTTGCCTCCAAAGAGCACTCCAGTTGCATTCTCTCCAAGACATATCTGTTCTTTTGGCAGTCCACTGGATGTTTAGTGCTCTTCTCCAACACCACAACTCAAAGGCATAACTTCTTCTGTCATCGCATTGTCCAGCTCTCAGATGCATAGCAAGTGACTGGAAAAAACCATGCTCTGCCTCAGATACACCTTTGCCCTAAAACTGGTATCATTACTCTTGAATAATTTAGAGAGGTCCTTAACTACATACTTTCCCAGTGCAATAGGTCTCCTGATTTCCTGACTGCTGGCACCATGGTTACTGTAGATCCAAGTAAGATGATGATTTTCCTCCCCCCCAATCCTGATGTCACATTTCTCTTCATAGAGTCCAGCTTCTTGAATAATTAGCTCAGCATACAAACTGAATAACTATGGAAAAGAATATAGCCCTTGCGCACTTCTTTCTTAAATTTAAACCATGCAGTGTTTCCCTGATCTGTTGGCACAGCCACTTCCTGGTCCACTCTTTGCATGTTGTTGTTGTTGAGTCCAGCATAACTCATGGCACCCCTACGAACAAAAGGCCTGAAGCCTCTCTACAACTATTAACATTTCTCAAAGTTCACTGAGTTTCCAGAGGCAAGTTATTTAGGAAGCGGATGCTACTTCTACTTCTAAACCTGTCATAGAATGTTACTGGTTGAGTGGCCTGTGATGCACTCTAAACCCTGCCCTGTCCTGACCTAGTCTCACTAATTCTCACACACCATCCCCCATCACCCCAGTTCCTGTATCATTCCATCTCATCTGGTGTTTCCCTCTCCTCCATTGTCTGTCCACTTTTCTGAGCATGATGTCCTCTCCAAGGACTGATCTCTCCTGGCCACGTGCCCAAAGTAAATGAGATGGAGCTTCAAGGAGAGACTGGGTTTTATCCTCCCCAAGACAGACCTATTTGTTTTCTAGGCAGTCCTTGGTATGTTCAAGATTTTGCATGAGCACAATTAAAGCTCTGGGTTTTCCATTCTTATGAATGTCAGCCACAACTTGTTATGATCCACAGAAACACCTTTGAATAGTCAATAAACTCTTGTTTTGTAGAATAAATATAATCCAGTATACTTCTGAATTTCATAACAGGACCAGCACCCATGTGTTGTGGTACCCATGCAACAAAAGAAGTATTAAACTGAAAAGGACTACCCCTGCCCAAACACACATGAATCCATGATCTGATGGCAGGATCTGGAATGTGGAGTTCCTTAACTGGGCTTGGTTTATAGGAGAGTTGTGGCCTTATTCATAACTCGGTCTTATCCAATTAACTAACTATAAATATTACTTGAAATATAATTGTAGAGGTAAACTCCTCTTAGTTTTCCATATAAGGAGCTCATCTTTTATGTACTTCCACTAGTATGTGGAACCAAGGGCCTTGAACTCTGTCTTGTATTGATACTTCCCACTGTACTGGAAATTATACAATAAGATAAGAGGCCCCCAAATATATAATTATATTTTAAAATCTGAAGGGCAGAGACCACTGTATTACTGCCCATTTGAGAAGAAAACAAGCTTCAGGCAACTCTAACTCTCACATCCAAAGGAAATGGCAATAGATAACCCTTTTTGTCTTAGGGATCACTGTCCTAGTAGTGGCTATTGTTGTTGTTGTTGTTGTTAAGTGCCATTTTGACTCATAGCGACCCTATGTATAAGAGCCCTAAATCCTGCTATATCCTGGGCCAATCACACTGCCTCCGATACACCCATCCTGATTACTCCAGTCACTGCATCAATCCACCTCACAGAGGGCCTTCCCTTCCTGTGCTCTCGCTCAACCTTCCCAAGCATGATGTCTCTCTCCAAGGACCTGTCCCTCCTTACAACATGTCCAAAGTATGTCAGTGGCTATAGGTGGGCTAATTATTTGGAACTGTCAACAACACTGACACAATACAAATGTTCCACCACCTGTTGAAGAAATAGCTGAGGACTCAGGACTCCAAGTCCTGCAACTTTCATTAGACTATTCTATGGTAATTGACCACAGAATTGTTTAAATTTCCTGTTAGCTGAAGATGAAGCAAGTGTGCCATTGTCACATTTGTTTCATGTATATCAACACTTTGGGAAAGGCTGACCTTAGCACAAAATCTATTAGAAGAAGCTCATGGTTATGAAAAACAAGAAAGAATTGAGGAAACAATCTCTGGAGACAAAGAATTACATTTAATTTTTAACTTGCTTTCTCCTCCAGCGTAGGCTTGTTAAAATAATAGTTTTAGTATTATTAATTTTTGGACTCTGTCTTTTTTTAAAAAATAATTTTAATGCGCATTTACAGAGATTTTTTATTTCCATTTATTCACTGCTGCACATCTCTCCCCCCATCCCTCCCCACCCCAGTTCGCTCCTCTCTTTAAAAAGTAAAAGAAACACTCCTTCCTTGATACACAATTCCCCCGCACCCCTCTCAGAAGAGTCCACAATTAAGGTTTCATAGTGGAATGTACTTGGGACTCTGTCTTTTTAACCTTTTAGTAAAAATTTTCCTCTAGATCATAACAATTTCAAGAAAAATTAATGATACTGCAAGAATTTCAAATGGCCTTTTCTATACACAATAAAATATGGACCTCTACAGGAATAAAAGACTAAATCGAGTGGCAAGATAATGACACTTATCTAGCCTGTTGACCTCGATAGCACTTTTCATCCTCAAGAAGTTACAGAAGAAGACTTTCATTCATTTTCCCCTCAAGAATGATGACTATAGAATATCTCTTTGGAGGAGAGAAGGAGAGTAGACACACAGTACAGTCAGATAAAGGAGATCAGTCCCAAGTTGTTTGTCACAGGGTCAAGAACATCTTACATATATAACCACAAAATCTAGTTTATACAGATAGCCCCAGGTATTCCTTCCTGATGATCTTTAAATTTACTAACAATTACTGTTTTAAGTTTGCAAGAGATTTCAGATGTCATGCATGCCCAGAAGCAAAAGGAGAGACTCCTATGTAAAACCTTCTAGAGGAGAAAGCAGTGAGCTTCTCAACAGAACAGGGGATTAAACTCAGATACATGAAAAACAAACCTATAGCATATGCACTGTGATGATGAAGCTGTGTTAGGCACTTAACCAGACACACTCCATCTAGAAAATCAACTGCATGTGCATCCAGATATGTATAATAGTTCCTTTTCCAGGAAAGCTATGTCTATTTCCTCTTACAAATTAAATACGATCATTTTCTCCCAAGCTTAGTCTAGAAATGCTCCCACAAACTTTCCATTTACAAGACACCTTCCCTGTCTTCTCCACCAAAGATATGAGACTCCTGTCTTTTTTTTTACTTACTGAAAGTAAAAAATAAAGTTTTCTCATCCACATGCCGCTTCTTAGTATTTTTACTAGGAGGCGACAAGGGCCCTTTGTGTCCCATTAAGACTCTTGTGGTAAAAGAACTATTAACCCAAACATTGGTGCTAAGTCTGGTCTGGCAATATGCTTGTAAAAGCTCACAGCCACTGAAAATCCTATGAAGGGAATTTGTATTCTGTACACATAGGTTTACCATGAATTGCAACTGACTTGATGGCATTTTTTTTAAGAGTATCAAAATACTTCGTAAGGAGCTAATGAGACTTTGATAAAAGAGATTTTCAGGGATACTTTATGGTATCTCTAATAAAAGACTGCTTTTAGAGTCCAGGTATAATTCTGCCAGAGCCATCCACTTGATGACTAGCAAAAAAGCAGAACAAAGAATAATACAAATATTTAAATTCATGCACATGTCTTTTCTTTGCATGAATAAAAACATTTGGTCTTCTCATTTGTAAACTGTGAAATCATCCTCTTGAAGTTACATGAATAAAACAAATAAACAGAAACACTGTCTTTGAAATTTCAAGTCATAGAAACTCCATAAACTCCAGAGTTGAACTGTTCCATAGAGTTTTCAATGGCTGTGAACGTTCACAAACAAGTTACCAGGTCATTTTTCCAAGGTAGGTTTGAACCACCAACATTTTGCCTGGCAGGTGAGAACTTAACTTTCTGTGTCACCTAGAGAGGACTCCCAAATTTCAGTTGAGAGCAATTTGAAATGTTGTTTTATCTGTCAGCAGTAAACCGAAAATAGAATCTAGGTATTACACACTTTCCAAAAATGTATATTAAACATTTAACCACAGTTAATGAAATGAAACTTCCTTAGACGACTTCAGTGAATATATTTGAGTACCTAAAGGATCTCTGATGGAGTAGTGGAATGCATATTGGACTGCTGATCAGGAAGGATAGCTGTTAATCAGCAAGAAGTTTCACAAGAGAAGGATGAGTAGTCTGTCCCCATTAAGGCTTACCACCTCAGAATCCCAGTGAACGGTCCCTAAAAGTTAGATTTGAAGGTGATTTAGGTGGTATTTTTTCCCCCAAAGGCATTTAAAGGAACTGGTGGTGCTGTGGATTTATCTGTTAACCAAAATGCTGACAGACAGATGAGGCAGTCTGCTTTATAGACAATCAAGATTTATTACAATGGAAACCCTAGGGAATAGGACTAATCTGCACTACAGGATCAATAGGAATCGGAAATCAACTCTGTAGTAGTGAATTTGGGTTAGATAATAAATCAAGATCTTCTTAAGCAATGAGAAATTATCAGGTAACAGAAACCTACATGGTCTCGTGGGCCAGTGATAGTTTGGGTGGGATTTAAAACACAGGCTATAAAAGCTATGAAATGCAAGTTTACCAGCTGAATAACTTTCAGGAAAATACATTTTCTGAGATGAAAGTCCTTTGTTTATTAAACACTACAGTATTATCAGCTTAATGCAATTGTTACCTTAAGAGTTAAGAAAAGGGGAAAAAAAGGCAATGTGTATTCAAATATCTACTTAGTATAATTCCTGGTTATAGTAGGTATTCAACGAAAATATACTTTTATTCTTACCTTTGTGTTTTCTATCATGCTAGTAAATGTTAAATGACTTGATGTATAAAACTAGAAGGATAATAAATTAATAAAAAAAGCCAAGCTTACTCAATAGTCATCCTGGCCACTGATTCAAGGGAGTTGTAGCCAGCTGCTGTGAAGTTATCTTTATATCTTTCCATCTTAATAGCTTGCAACCATTCTCCAACAGAACAAAAAGTAGTGAAGTCTGGAGTGTTTTGATCCAGAAGAGGGCTTATTGGCCTTGATAGGAATAAAACAAATAAACAAACAAAAAACCCCAAACATTTTTTTTATAAATTACCAAAGAAATAATGTCTTGGTCCATATAACAGTTTAAAAGAATAAAAACAGAGTTGAACTGATTTCTACAATAACAAGTGAGTTCTAGATATGTGACAAATGCCCTAAATCAGAGACTGTCCAATAAATACAAGTTCACAAACGTATATTTTACTTGTACTTTATAATAATTAGATTATGTCTTTCACGTGCCTTTAAAAGTAGAATAAAGAAGATTCATAATTAGCAAATATTTATTCATTTGCTTCTCTACAATGCGTAGGAAGAAAGATGCATATTTGCCTGCATATTAACTTTTTCTGGTCACAAGGGTGCTACTGAGAACATAAATGCATTTGTTGTAATGATGGAGCCCTTGTGAGCACCACAAGTTAATATACTTCGGATGCCTAATTTAGTACTGATAGGGATCAATGTGTCATGTTTCCCTGTCAGTTGAAGGTGTATGATGACTAATATGCAATATAATTTAATAAGTAAAAATCAAAGAATAGAATGTTTGTGACACTTTGCAATGCCCATAATTGAAATATTATTTAATTCTGATTGAATTACTCATAAGAACTATTACTTTTATAGAGACATTTAAATAAATAATTTAGAACAAAATAAAAACAGATTATATACACTTGACAAAAAACATAGGTGACAATCAAAAACTCCCCAAAATGATAATTAAATTGCCTAGGAAACATATGCTACTTTGTCATAAAAAGTCATTTTAGAAAATTTTCCAAGTAATAGTAGCCAATAACAAATAATTATAACATTTAAATAAAACAGTAAGAGCAATAATACATTCATCTTAAGCACTAATCTGCTCAGTAGCCCATCTGAAAATGAACACTATGTAAACAATGATTTAATAGCTGAACCTTTTTCTGTTTTGTATTGGAGTGAGATGGAAGAGCTAAATGTTATTCACTTAAGTATTTCTTACCTACTACAGGTCCCAAGGGGTGTTTTCAGACTATTTGGGTTTCTAATCATTTTGTCTAGAATTCCAACTATCTGCTCAAACTTTGGCCTCTCTGCACGCTCCTTCTGCCAGCAATCCAGCATCAATTGGTGAAGACCAGCAGGGCAGTCCATGGGGGCTGGTAAACGATAACCTTCTTCAATTGCTTTTATAACCTAATAGCCAAAAGGATATTAAAATTATTACCGACTGAGGTTCAATTATAAAAAAATTAACCATCCAGCAGGCAGAGTGATTCATCCAGATGATACTAATTTGCAAAAGACTTACTTTTTTCCATAATATCCATAAATGTCTTCAAGATGGAACATGCTATGGTAATATTTTGCTTGCTGAAATCCACCAGCCACACCATAGATTCAAGATGGGCAATCACCTCCAGTGTGATTTACACCCTTGGAAATCCAGGAGAGGGTCAGCTAAGAGTTGGTCCTGACTTGACAGCAGTGAGGATTTTTTAGTGAGTATATGTGTCAGAGAGTTAAATAATGATGAGGGAGGATAGGAGGAGAATGGATACCTTTGAGCTGTGGTGCTGGAGAACAGTATTGAGTGTACCATGGACCGCCAAGAAAACAAACAGATTCATCCTGGAGAAGGTTAAACTGGTCTGCTCCTTGGAGGCAAGGATTCTGAGGCTTTTTCTGACATACTTTGGTCATGTTGTAAGGAGAGACCGGTCCTTGGCGAGGGACATCATGCTTGGGAGGGTGGAGGGTAGGAGCAGGAGGAGAAGGCACTCTGGGAAGTGGATTGATTCGGTGACTGGGGCAATCAGATGAGTGTGTCAGAGACAATGAGATTGGCACAGGACAGAGCAGGGTTTAGGGTTGTTGTACATAGGGTCGCTATGAGTCACAAGTGACTCAATGGCACATAACAACAACAACAACATCATATATAATTGTGAGTGTACATATTAATCTATAAATTTCTATATTTTACAAGTTGAAAGAAGTAATGCTAAGTTATCCAAAGTGTACTGAAAGAACTATTGTTTTGAATTAAGATAATACTTTTCAACAGGAAATAAAAAAAGTATGCATATATACTGATGAAAAACATTATTAGCACCACTGTTAAGTAACTAGTCTTATAATATAGTGTGGTGAGCAGGAACCAGATTGTACTAGTTCCTAAGAAACAGTGGTATCCCTTTCCATGTCCACAGTCAGTGATCCCACACTGGCAGACTAAAGAATTCATCAGGGGTGTGGGAGGAAAGTTATGCCAGAAACTGGCCAAATTGAGGCTTTTCTATTCAGAGAGCTAGTTGTTAAATGTTACCAGCACATCACTGTATATTCATATCTAGTAAAACTCTAAATGCTATTTTTATATCAAGCTTTGAAGGATAATAAAAAAAGGTTCCTATAAACATTCAGACTGTCCCCAAATTACTTATCATTCATAGTATTTTTTTTGTATTTATGTGGAAAGAAAATAAAGTCCTAAATATCAGAAATGGTTGGAAATCTGAGCAACATGGCTTTAACAACTGGAAAACACACATCATAAACAAGAAGGCTTTCATGGAAATCACGAGTATAGCAAAGATTAGTGTATAGACTTGGGGGAAGGAGAGTGAAGCAATAGGAAGGATGCAATGAGGATTTCAAGGGAGGGTTAATAATAGAAAAAGATCAATGGTAATTAATTATACACAATATAGTGTATACGAATAATTGTATAAAACACAATAATTTATTATATGATTGTATGAAACAGTAAGAATACAATCATTTGCATAAAACAATCATCAATCATAAGTGTAAATGAAAAACTATAAAATACAATGTGCATGAATGAAATAAGAGACACTAACTATTGCATAAAAGCAACAAAAAATAAAGAGAGGAGGGAGGGGGCAGCAAAGGGGGAAGGAGAGATGCTCATTGGAATGGTGGAGGCTGTGATGAGAAAAAGTGAGGAGAGTTTCAATGGAGAATTGAAGTACTAAAAGGGAAGAGCTTCCCTGGAGATAAACTTGTCAAAAGTAAACTCTAGTAGTAGTGTCGGCCTTATGGGAAAGATTGATTCCAACCCAGTACCCTGAGTAGGTTTCCTTCCATTTCAAAGGACTTGTGGATCTACGTTGGACTTTTTCTTATTAATACAGTATTTATTTATCTTCCCTCAGTCAAACCTGAGCCAATCACCTTCCCCAGGGGAGATACAGGGAAAGAGACATACAGGGTAGATAAGACACAGGAGGGGGAGAAAACCAACAAACTATGGGATGTGGGTGGAGAGGGCTGCTCCACCATCAGGCAAAAGAGTCCAAAGGCCTCTGAGAGGGCAAAGCTCAGAATGATTTAGAAGAACTTCTGCTTCCGAGAAGGATTTCTGGCATAACCAGTGATGAGGCTCCCAAAGACAACCCCAATCCCAGCTTCAGAGCCAGCCACTCCAACTGTGGCAGCCCCCACCCCAATACACTTGGCTGCTGTGTCAATATCCCTTGAGATGGTTCTGATTTGGAAGCTGCATCTAGGGATAAATGAAATCAAGAATATGGGGGTGTCAAGCAGCTGAAGTTCTCATCTGTCATAGTCTGATTGTTTCACCACTACTACAGACAATGGATGGCTCAGCAGCTGAGAGGTACTCCTGACCAAGGAAGAGGTGGAGAGAAACTTGGTGCAGACATACATTTTCAAGGGATGAGGGGCTGTGGCCAGAAAGCAGCTACTAGTACAGAGAAGATGGAGAGGGGCCACTTTGGACTTAGGACAGAAGAGATTCTCATTTGAAAGAAGGGCAAACAGACAAGGTGAGGAGGAAAAAGGAAAAATATGTCTTTTTAAAACTAGTAAGCTGTTCAGCTACTGAAAAAGGGTAAAGTTGATGACCATTAGAGCCCATTTCCAAGACTTGGGGGTGGGGTATGCTCACTCATAGTGATCACCTGAATTTACAGGTGGAAGTGGGAGAAATACGACAATGTCAAAACAGGCTGAGCTTGGATGTGTTTCTTCACCTAGCATGCACAGTTGTGTAGATGAAGAGGGAATGTTGTTGGCATGAGAAGCAGGGCATCATAAGGATTCCTGGATAGTTGATTTAACTTTGACCCAAGTCAAGGGGGCTAGGGCTGAGTGAGGACACCAACAGTTCTAGAACACAGGAAGAAGAAGTGTGGACTACTGAGCTTGAGCTGATGGTCATTTGAACCTAGCCATGGATGGCTGCGGAGGAGTTGACCAGAACCCAACCAAATGAAGAGACTAGGGCCAACTGCTGCAACGTGATGGCTTACTCTGGACTGTCTTTGCTTGTGGATGCAGATGCTCAAAATTTCCAAGTTGAATAGAAGATCCTTCAGTAAAAGGCACACACTTTTTCACTTAGAGTATTGGTTTGATAGGGGATGGACAAATTAGAAATTGGCTATTTAAAGGGTGATATTAGGGTATTAGACACGAAGTACTTGGCCTACACACTTTCACAAAAGTACTTGTTAGGCAGATGGGAAGAAAAATACCTGACAATATAACTGAATGAAATAGAATGTAAATGAAAGCTGCATAAAAGACAATGTACATGCACAAAACACAATATATATGAATAATAAAAAAGGAAAATATATTTTTTAAAAGAAGGCTATGCAAAACATTAAAATATTCTCCATAGAGATTATCAAACCTTGTGACACTAAATTGAGATGCCTGGATGGCAAATGTACTCTCTTTTCAACTGCTACTCTAAGACTGGTGGTTTGAAACGATGCAACAGTCCTGAGAAGTACAGGCTTGGGAAAAGCAATCTTGTTGTTAGGTGCTGTTGTGTCAAGGACATCTCATAGTGACCACTGAACAGCCTTCCCGAACCCTGCCCTATCCTATACCATCCTTATTATCTCTGACACACTAGAGTCCATTGCTGAAGTCATTGTGTCATTTATTTCACTGGAGGTTTTCCTCTCCTTTGCTGACCCTCTGTATTTCCAAGCATGATGTCCTTTTCCAAGGAATAAACTCACCTAACCACATATCAAAAATATAAAAGAAGAATCTACTACTGGTCAACTTACAGTCAAGAAAACTATGAAGAAGTTCTACTCATTAACAAAGGAGCTATCCATGTCTCCATGACAGTTATTGTTAGGTTATTGCTGACTTTTTAATTTTTTAACATTTAAGATAACATTTTAATTTTATACTGGTTTACTTCAGAAGTTTGTCTACATTGATTGTTAGACCAGATCCTTCCTCTTTCCTTTACCTACTCTTCCCTCCACCCATCGAATTCTGCAACTTTATGATCAATACCCCTACCTATTCTCATTCGTCTGCTCCCACCCTCGCCCCCTTTGGTGCAAATACCATTCCATAATGATGCTTTTATGCAGTATTTGTCCTTATGGGACTGAGTTTGTTCAGTTAGCATAATGCTCTCCAGTCTCTCCCAATATAGGTAGTAATTTACAAAATCATTGCTCCTGTGTGCTGTGTGTAAACGTAGCATAATTTTTCAATCCATTCGATTGTGGTTGGACAATTGACCTGTTTCCATGTTCTTGTGATGGCGATAAAGCTATTATGAACACTGGTGTACAAGTCTCTGTTGGTGCCTAAGTTCTCATAGTCTCAGGTTTTATTCCAAGAAGTGGAATAGCTGCATAATATGGAATTTCTATGTTCAGCTTTTTTAAAGAAATGCCATACTTGCCTTCCAGAGTGGCTGTACAAATTTGCAATGCCATCAACAATGTGTAATACTTCCTATCTTACCACATTCTCCAGTATTTATTACTTGCTTTCCTTTTAAACTTTGCCACTGCAACTGTAGTGAGATGGTATCTCATTGTGGTTTTGATTTGCATCCCTCTTATTGCTAGTGATTTTGAGCATTTCTTCATGTGTCTGGTGGTCATCCAAATGTCTCCCTCTGTGAAAAGTATTTCTGTGCCATGACAGTTGTTGTTAGGTGTCACTGAGATAAGTACAACTCATAGCAAGGCTATGAATAACAGATCTAAACCTGTCTTCTATTCTTTATCATTCTCATCATGTCTGATGCACTTGAGCCTTTTGCTACAGTCAACGTGTCAATCCATCTTGTTGAGAGTATTCCCCTTTTTCACTGACTCTCTACCTTTTAAAAAATGATGTTCCTTTCCAAGGAATAGCCTCTCCTAGTAGCATCCAAAGTA